TATCTGTTCCATTTTTTAAAATATCTAACCATGACTTTCTGATGTGGGATTCTCCTCTGTATGTTGTGAATGCCATTGGTTAATAAAGGAACTGCTTTGGGCCTCTAGCAGAGCTGTAGGGGAGCAGAGCTAGGTGGGGAAAACTAATCTGAATGCTGGAAGAGAGAAGGCAGAGTCAGAGGGAAGCCATGGAGCGCCACCAGAGATGGACACTGGAACTTTATCCAGTAATCCACGGCCTCGTGGCAATACACAGATACTAGAAATGGGTTAAAGTAAGGTATAAAAGTTAGCCAATAGAACCTAGAGCAAATGGGCCAAGCAGTAATTTAATTAATACAGTTTCTGTGTCATTATTTCAGGGCTAAGCAGCTGGGAACCAACAAGCAGCCTTCCCACAACAGCTTCCTAAATTGATTTGTCTTTCCACGAAAAAAAAAAAAAAAACCCATCCCTGCAGTTTGAAGGACACCGCACTTTCCACACACCTATTTCTCTAATAACACAGTGAGGTAAGGACTACTGGTCAACCTCATTTCACAGATGAAAAGAGGAGGTAATTTGACCAGCTCACTTTGTCAAGGTAATCTGTTAGTAACATGAAAGTTTTTACTAGAACTTCTAGCTCTGTGAACTCTCAACAACTGTACTGTCTACCTCCAAAACCCTTTGTTTCAAAATATTATTTACATGAAAGTCAATAAACTCGCCCCTAAGCTGACACTCTGCAAAGACTGATCATAACAGAAGGAAAGAACTCAACACAGGAGAAGCCACAAAACAATCCCACACAGTTAAGAATTATGGATAATAAAAAAGGCTATTTATTTGAGGGAAAAACTTACAGATCACCATCCCAAACAACAGTCCTCTCATCGCAAACAGGAAACATAGTCTAGCAGCCTGAATGGGAGCCGGAAGCAAGAGAGAGAGAGTGCACACAGTTCCCGCTGCTTTTAAAAGTATAAGAGACCACAGTGGAGTGGCTTGTATCTTAAAGGCTAATGGCTGAAGGAGCAGAATATGCTCCCACAGCACACTAACCAGGATTCCTTTTCTGCCTCTGTGCTACAGTGTACTTAGGCAAACCATGTAACCTCTCTGAACTTTAGCATATTTATCTTCAAAATAGATTGCTGAGAAATAAGGTATTGGAAGATCTCCCACCTCCAACATTCTAAGAGTCTAAACTATTTAGGAGAAAATGAAACCCAAATCAGTAGAATAGGAGAAGTCATATGAACAGCACAAAAAAAACAAAAGAGGTAAAAACAGAAAAGAGCTGGAATAGGGTAGAGAGGAATAAAGGAAAAGGTAACCCACATGGAGAAAGGCTCTTAAATGATGGAGTTGAATTAGTGAGCTTGCTGGAACTATTGAAGAAAGTAAAGACAAGAAGTATGATTATAGCTTCATTCATTTTACATGACTTGTTTTAAAATATTGATAAGAAAGCAAGGCACCAGAGCCAAGCCAACTATGAGACAAGTAACCCTGAATCACTGGGGAAATGCTAAGGAGGGGATGGGGATCCATGGGTGTTGGCTGCAGGGAGCAAAGCAAGAATCTACAAGAAAGAAGAGCAACGTGCCCTCTGGCTCAGAGTCAGGATCCAGGCATGCTTCACATGCCCCAAATATCTGCTGTCACTGGACCATCTCACTCCTAATCATCCAGCGTTTCCTCGGAAACATGTTAGCACGATAGGGTTGAAACTGTGGGGTGAAAATCAGTCAAGAGTGCCTAGAACTGGATTATTTCTCAGAATTAAGTACTTCTCTTCCTGGGAGTGAAGCAGAGGCAGTCTGCCTGGAAATGGAGAGAACCCAAAAGGCCTGAAAGCTCCTAAATGTTTTGGAGACATGAATTTCCTGTATAAACTATTGTTTTTTATTTGTATATAAATCAGACAAGTTTCCATTAGCAGGGTCTCTTACTGATGATAATCACAGAGGGGGCTATATGAAATCAAAGACCCCACCCTCAAAGGAAGGGAGTTTGCATTCTTAACAACTCCAGGTTTGATGCAGGCAAACGTGCCTGATCGGGCACTCTTCCAGATTTTACATTTTTGAGAATCAATCAGAGGCCTGAAGCACCTGGAACATTTTAATACAGTAAGCTCTGATCTCCCATGTGCATTTGGGAAGTGAAAATGCACCAGTCTGCACAGATGTTCCTCATCATGCAACACATGAAGATCCTCTATTTCTCTGTGCTGTAGGACAACGTTTTATGCCAGCTATGATGCTGTATTCCAGTTGTGATGTTTCCTTTTCTGTCTGTTGAATAATGCTGCCTCTCACATTCTCAGTTCCAGGAACTATTTTAAAGTCAGCATTGGGAAGTTACTGTGTCCTCTCCTCTGGCTTATGTCTCAGCAGGAGCTTTTCTGCCTTGTCCATTGATACCAGGATACTGTGGAGCAGGCCCATATGGGGTTGCCCTACTTCATCTTCATTCCTCCTGAAGAGATGAAGCAACTAGAAAATGAGAGAAAAGGCCACACCAGACCTTACTATGTGCTCTCATCCACAAAAGAGCTGCTGAGTTCGAAAGCCATAGCTTTCAATGCATTAGTGTATCGGGAATTGTAGCAATGGATGCTAGGGAAGCTGCTGGGTATTTGGGACCTGGGCTCTGCTCAGATGCTACCGTTTGTACTACTTGTCCATGCTGCCCAGCCCATGTGTCTCAGTTTCCTCAGCTGCCAAAAGGGAAGGATGTGGTGCTTGTTGCACAGGACTATGTACAGGATACTCATTATCTTTTAAATCCACATCTTCTGGGACTAGAAGTCAATACAATTATAGCCTTTTCCAAAAAAAAAAATGCTCACACCAAAAGAAAACAGATGCTGGGCATGTCATGAATATTCCACTCAGGGAAGATCTTGTTTCTGTCTCACATCCATACCCCTTTCTCCTCTAAGTAAGTGACTCACCGTCAATGTAGATGGAGAAGAAAACAAACTCAGAAAGTAAAGGGAATAGAGCCTGCCTGCTTTAATTATTACTTATAAGTTTCACTATGTTTTATTCCCTCAGCCCTGAAAACATATGTACAAGTAACACGATATGGACTGAAAGGATCATATTTAGAAATATATATGTATGTTCACTATACATAGATGCATGCAATAACAAATCATTTCAAAAATTACCATGAATATGAAGGAGAGTATGAATGGGCTTATGAGAAGGTTTGGAGAGAGAAAAGGAGAGAAGAAAATTTGTATTTATATCATACCTCAAAACTAAAAAATTTAAAAATCAAAGTAAAAAGAGCAGCCATTATAAATGGGGTGATTGGAAGATCCCTTGCCAAGTTCACGCAAGGTAGCTCTGGGTTCACTCTCCAACTACACACACACACACACACACACACACACACACACACACACACTAAAATAATAATGAATACATCTTGAGGTTTCATTCTGTACGCAACACTTTGCTCAGTGTTTTACACTTAAGGGGGCGGGGTGCTGAGTAGTGGTGCCACACACCTTTAATCCCAAAAATTGAGAGACAAAAACATGCGAGTTCAAGACCAGCTGGGTCTACAGAGTGAGTTCCAGGACTGTTACACAGAAAAACCCTGTTTTTAAACCTCCCTGCCCCCACAAAAAAAGCTACCTATGTAGTGTATTGAAAAAAAAAATCAGTGTGTAAGGAAGAAAGAGATGAAGTTGGAAAAACAATTACAACTGTCATGATAATTAAGATGGGGGATGATGGAAGATGCAAAAGTAGTTTTTGGCTCTAGATTCAGCTTACATACATTAGAATCCCCTGATTTACCGATCTGTTAGATACTGGCTGCAGGAGAAAGAAGTATGGGAAAGATCTAAAGTTTCTGGATTGTGAAGTTGACTGGCAGTGACTGTGGTGAAACTAACTTGATTATGAGCTATTTCTGACTCTAGGGGAAGATAAGGGATTAGGCTTGGTACATAGACATTTGAGATGTCTGCTGAGCTCCATCTAAGCATTTCAAACAGGCATATAGACATGTGAGTCTGAGACTCAAGGAGATCCAAACAAGAAATGTGAGTCGTGGTAGATACAGTCACATTCTTGTGCCCAAATATGTCCAGTTGTGTATACAAAGCTCTGGAGCATCCCACTGTTGTGAGTAAGTCCAGGAAAACAGATGACAAGAGACTGGAATGAATAATGAGGAAGGAAAATAATCAAGACAGTACAATGCCCTGGATGTCAAAGGATTGAAAAAGGGAGAAAAAAAAAAAGAGGAATGATCCACTGTGCTAGATACAACATGTAGGTCATGAAATTGGATGGCATAATTAGTCACGTTGAGGTCAAAAGTAACCAGCATTTTAGGGAGATTAAGTGAAAGTCAGGTTGAACTGTATGAGAGCAATGAAAAAAGACAGGCCGTAAGAATGGAAATACAATATAGAGAGATGCATTTAAAGAATTGAGAAAACACGCAGAGATGGAGTCAGCTGGATGACTTGTTTAGGGGTTTGCTGATGACATCGCTGTTGTTTGAGAAAGGAGACACAATACCTGTTTGTTCACCGATATGAATAATAGAGTAGCAATGGATGAGGGGGGAAGAAATGCTCAGACAAGAGAGTAAACTGGCTGGAGAGCATTCCTAAGAACCACAGCTGACACAGGATTTGTGAACGAACTAAAGAAGTTGGTAGGACAGCTATGGTATCAAATGGGGAGAAATTTCAGTTAAGAGATCAAAACAGAGATTGTGTCCAAGTGGACAAGACTATTTCTAATCTTTTAAGAGGCAAATTTGGCTGAAGTAAAAGTAGATTGCAAGAAATTTATTAGGACAATTTGTAAACAACCGTTTGGGAGAAAGCAAGAGCAAGGAATCTGTACCTGTGAAGGAAGAGGGGAGAAGACGCACAGGCAGAGACCCGGGACTCAGAGAATCAGGCAAGCCTGAGAGAATTTGAAAGACCAATGACAAAGTTTCTGCACGAAGATTTCCCTTACAGAAGTTCCGCATCTGCCAGGAAGTACAGCTCAAGGGAGTCTCCAGTCACTGGATGGGCAGCATGGGAAAAAACGGCCAAGTCGTGAATGCCACTGAACCACGAGTGTACAGAACCTACAAGCTATCCGGCTCAGGGCCCGACTCTGGAGGTGTTCTCAACAGCAGAACTCAAGGACAAGCCTTTCTGACCACCATAAAGGCTCAGGAGAGAAGAGGTACACCGCCATCTACAATGGAGACAGTGGAGAACAGGCTGTGGCTGTTTCTCAGGTGGTGCTAAGGGTTGCTTGAAAATCACATTGTTAATCTGAATGATTGTGCCTTTGCCTGGATTCAGGTCCAGGGCATAGAGAAAATGACTCAGTCAGGGTTGAAATATCAGCAATTGAATGCAATAAAGTAAGAAAGATAGGGACCGGAGGTTTCTGAGGATGTACACACAGAAGTAAGCAATAACTGGCAAAAAGAAGGCATCGCAGTTTAAAAAAAAAAAATGAACAAAGCCAGTAACAACAGACAGGAGATTATTGGTGAACTGAAACCTATTCTGATATATAGCACAGCCAAAGTTTAGATTCTAAAGAGAGGGCATGAGAAATAAGACCTTATAGCTAGTGATCAGAAGATGGGATATATGGAAATGAAATGCTGAATTGTAGTTATTGGAAATAACTAGGCCTAGTACATTACCAAGAGAACTATTGGTGGTGGTGGGTTAAAGGGCAGCTTGATAAGGGGAGAGGAGTTCCAGACAGAAAGGGCAGAGTTGGAGGCCTCACTTACATGTGAAGACAGGAGTTATAGTAAAGGGACTAATAAAGAGCTCACAGCTAAAAATCACCCAGAAACTAATGATTCAAAAAGCAGTAGGTAAAGGGAAGCACAGAATACAGACTGAATGAGACTCCTGGTTTGAGGGGTGAGGGAGTGTGTGAAATATCAATAAGAAACAATATAGACCAAAGACTGAATGAGACTCCTGGTTTGAGGGGGGGAGGAGTGTATGAAGTATCAATAAGAAACAATATAGACCAAAGACGGAATGAGATGCCTAGTTTGAGGGGGGAAGGAGTGTATGAAGTGTCAATAAGAAACAATATAGACCAAAGACTGAATGAGACTCCTGGTTTTAGGGGGGAAGGAGTGTATAAAGTGTCAATAAGAAACAATATAGACCAAAGACTAATGAGACTCCTGGTTTGGGGGGGAGTATATGAAGTATCAATAAGAAACAAGTGGGAACCCTAGCCTGCAGCCAGGCCCAAGGATACTAGGGCTATGACAGAAAGAAAAACCTTAGCCAAGGGCAGAACCCTTGTGGACAGGGAGTGGAGGGGAGAGAGGAGAATAGAATTCCCAGAGCAGATCTTGGGTCAGGACAGGAAGCTAAACAAAACTTGTCTTCTCTTCCAAGTCTTGAAATGGGTCTTGAATAAACTGTGTCACTGTGCACCAAAAAAAAAATAGAATCATTCGAAGTCCAGTCAGGATAAGTAAACCTATTCCAGGCAGCTTGTTTCATTCAAGGAACTAGCTACAGGTGCTGAAGGCCTGACTCAGAGGTTAAGAGCACTGGCTGCTCTTGCACAGGACCTGGGTTCCATTCCATTTGGCAGCTCACAATTCTCTATAACTACAGTTCTAGGGGAAATCCATCCCCCTCTTCTGGCTTCTGTGGGTACATTTGGATATGTAATCAAAACACTCATATACACACAAAAAAATAATTTTTAAAGGAACTAATTACAAAAGAATTGGAAAGCCAGACAGTGGTGGCGTACTCCTTTAATCCCATCACTTGGGAGGCAGAAGCTGCAGGATTTCCACAAGTTCGAACCCAGCACGGTCTACAGAGTAAATTCCAGGCCAGCTAGGAATATACAGAGAAACCTGTCTCAGAGGGGGAAAAAAAGTATTAGAAGAGTTGAAAAGCTCAAATAGTTTAGTAAAGAAACTGATACCTTAAGACTAGGAGGACATAGTCCCTGATTTGGTTAGGAAGTTTGGGGGAGGATATGATAGTTCTAGAATCCAGGACAAACTGTCTTCCAGACCCACTGAGACAGTGGGACTGATCTAATGGGAGCTCACCAAGGCCAGCTGGATTGGGAGTGATGGAGCATGTGATCAAAATGGACACTCTGAATGTGGCTGGCAATGAGGGCTGACTGAGAAGTCAAGGACAAAGGCACTGGGTTTTGATTCTAATGCATGGACTGACTTTGTGGAAGCCTGGTTTGTTTGGATGCTCACCTTTATAGACCTGGATGGAGGGGGGAGGACCTTGGACTTCCCATGGGGCAGGGAACCCTGATTGCTCTTAGGACTGGAGAGGAAGGGGGAGGTAGGAAGGGGGAGAGAAAAGGGAGGCGGGGAGGAGGTGAAAATTTTTAATAAATAAATTAATTAATTTTAAAAAACTGTCTTGCAGAAACTAGAACCAAGATGAAACAAAGGACAGCCACCTAGATGGAGGCAGCCTCAAAGACAAGATGCAGCCTTTGCTGTTGGCCACAGCAGCAAGGCAGAACGGAGCTGCCTGGCTTTTCCTTTTCTTGTACTTTAGTGTCCCACCAGTACGAACAATTGGTTCATCCTCCATGGAGTTTCAGTGACACTCGGCCACCTGTATGGAAGAGAACTGTAGGGAATGGGCCGGATGACAAGCCTGCACAGGATCCAGATAGCAGGTGCTATTCAGGGTTGTTTGTGTTTTCCTGACTTCTGGAAGGCCAATGGGAGCATTTCAGGAACTGGAGAGGAATTAGGAAAGGCGCATCAAGGTTCCACAGAATCATCTAAGAAGTGTGGAAGATAAAAGGTGACAAGCACAGGCAATGGTGGCTCACACCTGTAAGTCACACCCCTGGGGGAGCTGAGGCAGGAGGGTCAACAATTGGAGGCCAGCCTGAGTTCTGGAGCAAAATATATCAATTAAAGGGGAAAGAAAGAATTAACGGGTAATAACAGGAGGGAAGGTGAGCAAGGAGTCCGGAGTTTCGTGGATAAAATAGTAGAACAATAATACTCTAATACTCATGCTGGTAAGTGGCTGGCAGCCAAGATCAGTAAGTGCTGAAGGCTTACATTTTGGTTTGGTTTGGTTTTTTAATCATCAGTATGCGAAGAGGCCAAAACATATCCACATGTCAAGGGAAGAGGCAAGGGAGTGAGACAGACAAGAACAATGGAGTGGGGTGAAAGGAGACGGGAGAAGAGAAGGAAGAGGTGAGGGAACCAGAAAACCATGGCTGATAACTGTCTCTGAGTCTGGAATTCTAGCTGTTTGTTACGTTGTGTTTTTCTAAGAACCCAATTTCTTTCTTAGGTTCCTGGAGTGGTAGAAATGTATTTTAATTTCTCCAAGTTTTGTGTTTTCTTCTGAATTCTGGAATCTCACCTGATAGTAAAGCGGGAATTTGAGTATGTATGTGTACGTGCTATGCATATAAGTGTGCATGTGTGAACAGAAACATTTTCCCCAAACTCATGGCTGACTTCTCTCATGGACGGGCTAAAAGTGCAACTAACTTTTAAACACAGAGTACTCTGTTATCAGTGATTCTTGAAAAAGTCCCTTGTTTCATTGACATTAGTTGTTATCTGCTTGAGTAAACAAAACCAGGGCGTGCCCCACCGTGGGAAAGTGGGAAGTGAGTCTGTGGGAACGCATTTCCTAGGGTAACCTTAGAAGGCTGCCGACTGCCGTTCGCTGTGGCTCCAGTTCACCGGGCACCAGGACGTGGAAACAGTCACAGCTTCCTCATCCACCTCCCGAGAGTCCCGCTTCTGCCTAGCCTTCTTCAGCCACTTCTGTGCCCTGGGTTGGTTCCTGTGCCAGGGTATGTGTCCCCTGGGCTGACTCGGCTGGGTGGAGTGCGTTACTACAACAACCTGAAGTAATCTCACCGTCTTTGGAAAGCACCAAAACTCAACCACAGGAAGCAGAGTTCAGCCGCTCGGAATATTCAGGAAGGAACTACAGGCCAGGCCTAAAAATCAGGAACAGCCCAGGACTGAAAATTAGGGAAGCTTGGTGTTCTTTTGCTCACAGATAAATCAAGCAACGGTATTTAAGAAATAAATATATTATGTTTCCGTCACCAAACTAGAGATTCGTTTTGAAATTTTTATCATCACTGTTTTTACTAAAAACGGTTCATACAAAGATTTGATGAATGATTTTGTCTCTCCTCGGTGTACCATAATATATCCTGTCCTTTCTCTACTTGAGTTTCATGGATGTGTCACAGCCTGCCCCAACAAAGAAAGGCAGCAACACAGTGACTTTGAGAGCTAATAGCCATCTCCAGCCCAGGCTCACTTTATCATCCATGGCCACCCTCTCAATTCAGCAGAATCCTTTCTTTGGTTTTCTCAGTATTTCTCTAGACAGAGTTTTCCACCCATCTCCAGCTGCTTCTAAAAATTCCCTTCTGACAAAATATAAATACATAGAACAGGTTCCCTGAAAGCACTCCTCTGTTTTCTCTTTAACTGGCCCTACCAAGTTTAGCTAACACAAATTAAACATACATAAGGACTACTGTATAATCAACACGTTTGAATCTGAACTACCATTACAGTGACGTGTTCCTTGTTTCCTTCTCTATATGAGCACTTTTCATGTCATCTCCTTTGTCTAGTTTTGCTTATGTTTCCTGTGGCCTGGAGATTTTGTGTGTGAGAGGTGGGGAGCTCTGGAAGCTGGAGGTCAATCAATATCAAGTTTCTTCTTCAATCACATCAGGATCCCTTAGAGGGATCTGGGTCGTGGTGATAAGGCTAGGCTGGCCAACAAGCTTCTTGTCTCTACCGCCCCGTGCTGGGATTATATGCATGCACCACCACACCAAGCTAGGCACGTGGCTCCTGAGAGTCAAATGTAGGTCTTTGTGCTTTCTTTACTGGCTGAGCCTTATTCCCCGCTCAGATTATGGATTTTATCAACAGAAAAGTCAATCCTCGGCAATGTCCTGAAGTGTTCCTTCTACATTTTCTTTTTGTAAGTTATAGTTTGGGGTCTTGTTTCTCTGCCTTTCACCCATGTCGAATCAACTTTTATAACTGATTAATGTGTTCTATAATTTTTGCTACCTCTTTGTTTGAATTTATTCTCATGCAATTATTGTAGCTACTGGAGAGAAGGTTGCTTCCTTGATTTTTATTTGGCATTCAGAGATACTGCTGATGTTTTGTGTGTTGATTTTGTATCCTGTAACTTTCCTGAATGAAATTATTAGCTCAAATCACTTTAGAAGTCTTCTGGGTTTTTTTTTAAATTATGCAATGTACACACAAGGACAAAGTAACATCCTGTTTTTCAATTTGAATGAACTTCTTTTTTACTGTTGCTTGATTGCAATGTCTAGCATCACCTTCCCATGTTATTTTAAATAAAAGTACTGAAAGTACATATCTGTTTTTATTGAAAATAATTTTTCATACCATATATTCTGATTACAGTTTCCTCTCAGACAACTCATTCCATATCCTCCCTAACTCCCCACCCATCCAACCCCCGACTTTTTTTTTCTTTCTCTCTTTTTCTTTAAAAAACAAACAGGCAAATGGAAGAAAAGGAAGGAAGGAAGGGAGGGAGGAGAAAGAGCATGAGAAATACATTTATAGTCACATATACTCAAAACTTAGAAAACTTAGAAAAACACAAAAATCAGAAAACAAAATATATAAGCATAATATAAGGCAAAAAATGTCCAAACAAAACATTATGATACAAAAAAACTAAAAACTTGAAAAATATCACTGAGTTAGTTTTGTGTTGGTCATCTACTGTTGAACATGGGGCCTGCCTGTAAGTCTGATTGTATACCCCATAAGTCTCCATTGGAGACAAATCAATTTTCCTCTGCAAGCATTTGCAGACAGCTTCTGTATTAGGGGAGGTCTTGTGTCCCCTTCTCATTGCAGTGCTAGGACCCCATCTGGCTCGGACATGGGCAGGTTATTTGCATGCTGCCATGGTCCCTGTGAATTCATACGTGCATCAGTCCTATTGTGTTTAGAGGGTCTTGCTTCTTTGGCATCCTGCATCTCCACTGGCTCGTACAATCTTTCTGCCTCCTCTTCTACAGTTCCCTGTGCCTTGAGGATAGGGGCATGATGGAGACATCTCATTTAGAAGAGAGTATACCAAGGGTTCTCCCTCTCTGCACAGGGTCCAGTTGTGGGTCTCTGCATTTGTCCCCATCTCCTGCCGAAAGTAACGACTCTGATGATGGCTGAGTGAGACTCTGGTCTGATTCCCAACCTTGGGTAGCCACTGGGTTCCTAGGTAGGGAGTGCTCCTAGGCATAGGTGGCAAACACAAAGAAACAGGAATGGGTTAGAAGCCAGGGCTGAGTGGGTCTGCAGCAAAAGCAGGCACCCATGTCTTGTTATAAAATTAGAAAGCTTTTGGGTTTTCCTTATTCTGGACACACTGACTTGTTATACATGCCCTTTATTATGTTGGGATATTTTATAGTCTTTCTATACAGAAGCTATTAAAAATGTATCGTAAAGACATACCACAGGATAATCTCAATACCTGTTTGCCCCTGGCTTTGCAGACAATATGGCCACCACCGGTAGTGGCAGCTGAAGCCACAGCCACCAGAGTCACCAAGCCCTCTGAGTCTGGGAGTTTTCAGTTGCAACTTCTCTACAACATCCTCCGCAGGCATTTGGGCTCCAAACTCCGCCAGAGTCAGCACCTCACCGCCCAGCTGGGTATTTTTTAATCAGGATACTTCTGGTTTTATGAGCTGACTTTGGGAAAAAATTCTCTCCATTTTAATTTTTCAGCTGCTGGATAGAGGGTTTTTTTTTTTATAGCTATTGATTAGTTTTGTATAGCCTGGGATACTGTCTAATACCCATATCGCTGTTTTATTTTCTGTCGGGAAGATCTGTCGATTGCTGAAACGGAAGTGTCAAAGTTCTGCTCTTTGTCTCCGATTGCTTGTTTGGGCATTTTTTTGTTTACTGTTCTTTTGCTTGTATATTATGGTTTCCGATTTTGTGTTTTTATGGTGTGTTATGCTTTTTCTTTATTTTTGTTTGCTTTTACTTTGTTTTATTTGATTTTTGTTTGTTTCATTTTTACCTGTTTGTTTCCTAAAAAGAGAGAGAGAAAGAAGATGTAGAGTTGGCTGAGTGGGGAGGTGGGCAGAGTCTGGGAAGAGTTGGGAAAGACCACGATCAGAATATTTTGTTTGAAAGAAATTTATTTTCAGTTTTTTTTTTAAAAGTCCCTTACCATTGTATTAGCATCTACCTCTTCTTTTATTCCAATTAAAATTGGCTTTATTTTCCTGGTGCTCTGGACTGGGTGTGTGCATGCCTAGAAGTGATATTTTCCGACTTTTGCCTTAAAGTTTATTATATCTGATGTAACAATTGCTGCTCCTGTCTTCTTTTGGATTCCATTTGCATGAACTTGAGTTTCCAGCTATAACTTTCAATCTGTTTGTGTTTAGAAGGGAAGTGAATTTCTTCACAGTGACACCCAATGGGCATTTTAAAAACCCATTTGGTTAGCCTGGCGGTGGTGGCGCATGCCTTTAATCCCTTTAATCAGGAGGGAGAGGCAAGTGAATCTGTGAATTCAAGGTCAGCCTGATCTACAAGAGCTAGTTCCAGGACAGGCTCCAAAGCCACAGAGAAACCCTGTCTCAAAAAACAAAAACAAAAAACAAAAAAAGCAACAAAAACTGTCCATTTAGTTATTCTTTCTAATAATAACTAGAGTTTAACTAGTTAAACTAGAGTTTAGGTTTGGAGAGTTAATGTCATTGTTTAGATGAACTGCTTTTCACTGTGGTTCTACTTTCTAGCTTTTCCCAACTTTTTTTCTTTCAGTGTTACTCTCTTATCATTTTCCTTTTTCTTCAGAGATAGGTGTTGGCTCTTGCCCTATTAGTATTTGTCTAGTTTTGTTTTGTTTTGTTTTGTTTTGTTTTGGTGATGTCATCAAACAGGAGGGTCATAATCTATGTCCCAAGTAAGATCCTCAGTAATCCAATAAAACGGCCAAATTAGTAGTGGAAAGCCGAAAAGGAAGATTGATTTAATGCAACCACATTGGGAAGAGAGACAAAGGAATCCAGCAAACCCTTCAAGTCCCAGGGTCCTGAAGTGAGATCAAAATTTAAATAGAGAGCCAAGGATATGTACAGTCCTGGCCAAAGTGTAATCTGCCTGCCATTGACCCATCGTTATCTGGATTTCAGTCTCATCTTGGAGAACATGAAATTTCTTTAAGGGAGACAAGTTTCTCTGACTGCTGTTCCTTCCTTCTGGGGATTCCTGGGGAAACTCCCATATCTTTAGCATCTGTCTTTTCAATAGTATGACAGCCAGACTGAGGCAGAAGTGTCTTTTTAGAACATCTTCATTTCTGCCAGACCAGTTACACTTCCCCGCTTTCTGTTTTACCATCTCGGTCTTAAAGTGGAACATGTCTACATCTGAAACAAATATGCAAGTAGGAGCTAAACAGAACATGGGCAGGGGCTAATGATAGAATTTGCTTAGTTAGTGTCGGGTAGCCAAGTGTAAGGAGCGTTTTTCATGAACCTCTTGTCTTTTAGTTATGTGTGGAAGGGCTGACTCAAGCAACCTCATACCAGTTTGAGACAGGGTCTCCTTGTGAAGCCCGGGCTGGCCTCAGGTTTACAATTCTCTTTCTTTAGAGTCACAAATCCTGGGGTTACAGGCAAGGACCAGTATATCCCTGTGACTTTACTTATTTCTGACAACTCCCCCACTGTCTCTGAATACTATTTGCTGAAGACATTGCTGATTAACCATTTGGTGCTTTGCCGTCAACAACCCCACAATGTCAGGGGAAGATTCGTCCTAGTTGGTCTGGTTTGACCCCATGTTGGAGGGAGAAGTGACAGATGTCAAGCAGTTACTGCCAACAGACCCTTTAAACAGCAGGTTTCAGCAATAGAGTCATAGAAAGAGTGGCTCTTAGATAAGGCATGCCTGAAGTCTGTTCTGCCCATCCTATGGAGAATGTCCTAGTATCTCAAAGATGCCCGGCTTCCGTTGCCAGAAGCTTCACTTCTGAATGACACTGACAGACAGCATCATCAGTAGGCTTTACAGAAGGCAGCTGTCAAGTAATACACAAGCAACAAGAACAAAACTACTTTGGAAATGAACTAATTGTGTACAGATTACTGACTTTCTAGCACTGGTCAATCCTAAGAAGTTCCAGAAGCATCTGCACATAGGTCTGGCAGCAATGAGCCTCATCACTCAGAACTACATAGAAGCTTCTTTTCTAAATAGAAAATGAAAATCTTTGGTTCAATGGAAGAGACCAGAAAAACAACAATTTTTAGGGTTTTTAAAAAATTTTTTTATTGATGATTTAGGACCCTCACATCATGCACCCTGATCACACTGATCTCTCAATCTTCCCTTGTCCGCCTCTGTTGAAGGGAGCAGGGCCCCTTGTTCCATCCCACCCAGCTAGCTTATACCCGAAATAATCACACAGAAACTATATTCATTTAAACACTGCCTGGTCCATCAGCTCCAGCCTTCATCCCAATTTAACTCATTTTCATCAATCTGTGCATTGCCAAATGACTGTGGCTTACCGGCAAGATTCTAACCTGCGTCCATCCCAGGCAGGAGATTCATGGTGTCTCTCTCTGCCCTCCTTCCATTCTGTCTACTCCACCTACCTAAATGCTGCCCTATCAAAAGGCCAAGGCAGTTTCTTTATTTGACCAATGAAAGCAACACAAATACAGAAGGACCTCCTACACAAGCTCCCCTTTTTCTGTTTAAACAAAAAGGAAGGCTTTAACTTTAACATATTAAAATTACATATAACAAAACAGTTATCAAGCAAGGATTATAGTTATAACATTTAAATCTACTTTATCTTTTATCATAACAAAAAACTATAACTATTAACTATAATTTTTCAACTCCATCAAAGACTTTAGAAGGATATAATATTACCTAAGTAAACAGGAAGTATATTGTAAACAACTTCCAAAACTCTAGAAATGGCAGAGACATATCACTGCCTGTACAGTCACCCAAAGTTCTTCTCTACCATTGGGGCATCCATCTTCAGCCTACAGGCCCATAGTATTCAGCAGACATTTCCATAAAGAAAGAAATTTTAAAGACAGTTTAGTTACCTTTTTTTGTGTCCTGCAGAATGTCTTGCAGACTCTTTTATAAAACAGGAACCCTGAAGGATCATCTCACCTTTAGGCAAGTTTAGCAGTCCTCTCTCTGTGGGTTCTTCATGTCCAGTTTATGCATTAGTCCTGGCAAGAGCAGTTTCTTGCTCAAATGGTTAACAAACTCCATAAGGAGCCTCTTTGATGCCCATCTCCCTCTTAAAGAAGATTGGAGCTTCCAGGAGCAGGCGTGTCTCAT